AATTAAAAATCGATCAGGAAAAGGAAAAAAGAAAATATGCAAACATACCTATTGTCTTCGGAGCATTGAGATCGTAATAGAAGTAAAAATATCTGCCGAATAGGGTTGTTGGAAATTAGACCAAACTTGGCAATGGGCTTACCAAAAAGGATGAAAAAGGGAAAAGAGACTTGAAGGTCAGAATTCAATGTAAAGAAACAACATGAGTTCCCATGCTTTATGGGAGTGTTTCCATTGGTGATGAAATGGTAAAGAGGGGCAAGGGGGCTGAATGAGTGAAAAGAAGGCTACTGGATGACCATCATGGCATATTTTTTGCTACTATGTGCTAAAGAGAGTCATCCAAGATGGCAAAGCCTGTAAAAATTATAAAAACCTGGCTGAAAAGTTTCAGAAAAGGTAAAAGTGGTTAAAAAGTCAAAATTCTTCACACAGTCGACCTCTAATGCATCTTACAGAAATTGAAAATGGCTCCTTTTTTTTTAGTAAAGGAAAGAAAGAATTTGCTAATAATTCCTTGGAGTATATATACTTATATATATATAATTTCTATACATATATATAGGAGTGTATATATATATATATATTTTATATTAAGTAATAGTTCTATAGAGAAATTGAAAAATAATCATTATAAAATATAGTGGTAGTACTAATATTTTTTCAATTTTTGTTTAGATGGTACGCATTAGTCAAAAGGTTGAAAACTGCTACTCTAGGCCAGTATGTTGTCAGCCATTTTTGACACAAAAATCGTTGCCAAACCAAGAGATGTCACAATACATCATAACATCTTCATCTTTGTTTTTATGTAAACTTCATTAATTCTCAATAAGGTGGTTTATTTTTAAAAGAAGGATATCAGTTAACTCTGTTTATCTACTCTTTTCTTGCATTTTGTAAAAATCATTAAAATTTGGTATCTGCCTTCCATATAGGAGCATGCAGTGGAATATTTTAAACATTCTGATATCCAGGCATCAAGAAAAGTATGCATTATGGAGCACAGTGTGCAACTTTATTTGAAAAATGGATAAACCACGGCAATGCAACATGAAACATTATGACAAATAATTTACGATTTTTGTGTACTATACCCATAACTTTCAATTATCTAACTAAATAAGCTTTTACTGGAATGAGTGGTGCAAGTTAGGCAGAACCTCCTCCACATTTCAATGGTTGATAGGATTTCATACTCAGGTAAGATATTTTACTTTCACATATTGAGGCCCATGAAAATACATTGATTTTTATATGAGGACTATTGTTTTTTAAATCTTACACAGTGTTAAATATAGGCTTTTGATATTCAAGTTTGTAACAAATAAGGTGACTGTTTATAAAACTGGAAATTTCTTCAATTCATTTGGCCTTTTTTACTGTGAACTACACTTTTTAAACATGCAACTATTTGGAATTTTCAAATATCTTGCTTGCATTTCTTAAGCTTTTTAGATAGTTAAGCTTTTACTGTATTATAAAACATACTATAAATTTTCACAATCTTATGGCATTTCACATTTCCAGATGTATATGTATAAAATATTACCTCTGTTTCAGATGTTAGGTGGGCAAGACGAGAATGAATTTCATTTATAAGGGCAGGATCCATGAGCTCTTCCCCCTGAATATTACCTTTAACAAGTTCCTGCCACATTAACCCAGTTTCAGATTTTGATAAAATTACTTCCAACCTGTTACAGAAAAATATATGTGTATATATATATATAGATAAATTATGTTATTTAACAGAGGGATTAGAATCAGTTTTTTAAATTTTTAAGCACTTTTGCTGAAAGAGAAATGAAAGGAAAAGAATTTATTTTTTACTTTTCTCCATCCATAATCCATGAACTTTCTCCAGTGTTAATGTAGTTTCCAAGCCGACCAGAAAGAACACATTTTCCTTGAAGTGAAACTTCTATTTGAAGTGGTAAAAACTTGATTTGAATATCTGCCTTTTTTATATGTTGTGGAAGACGAAAATACACAGTAATATCTTTAGGAGTTTGAATGTAAGTATACAAAGGGGGTTTAGGATCTGCAATGATAAAAGCAATAGGCAGTAAGGAATACGAATATATCTTTTTCATATTAAATATTCTTTTTTGGGTGAATTTTTTTAAAAAGAACTAGGTTAAAGGAACTTTAAAAAAATGTATTAAATTAATTTAATAATACGTAAAATTTTGTTAGTTGTCACAGAATACCAAATGCATATGCTTCAAAATTTATAAAACCAAATACAAATCTGCTTAAAATTCCAATTCTAAATTTGTGAATGCTCAGCAGTAATCTAAATAAACACTATATCAAATCAAATATAAACTATCTAAAAAACAATAGAGGGTTATTACAAATAAAGTTCATAGTTTTAAAAATTAATAATAAAAGATATTAAAACAAAGTCCCCCCCCCTCCAATGGCAGATTGTGAACAGTTACAGTGTAATACAGTCTATTAATCTATACAAGGCCAGATGCTATTATAGGACGGACCATTACAACCATGCCTTTTCCAGGATTCAAACCCAGGCCCTTCGGTAGTCAGGCTTCCCTAACCACTATACTGTCTGGGCGGCATTAAAACAAAGTTTAAAGTGAAAAAAGCTAAATCCCATAGCCAATCTTCACTTTTAAGTAGCAGGCACTCTTTGGAGAGTTCATATTTTAAAACACACTCCATCAAATTTCAAAATCTCATTTCATCTCTCTCAGCTCATAGGTGCACTTCCTTTAAAAAGCCAGTGCACTTTACAATGAAGGAATAACTCACCATTCTCTTCTGTTTCTTCCAGGAAAAGCTCACTGAATCATTGTTGTTGATTCAGAGCTCAAGCTCATATTTTGTTGATACAGCGAGCTACAGGTACAACAACAGAAGACAGGTTTAAGTCCTTGGCACAAAAAGCTTCTTGATGGATAATACAATGATACTTAAAAACTTTTCTTCCCAATAATTTTCAAGCAATGTAAAATCAAGTAATGAAAGCTTTTATCCTACCAACTATGCAAGGTGCTCCATCTGTACAAACACTATCCTGTTTTGTTCACTCTACTTTGTTAATGTCAATTACAATTTTAAGTTCTCTAAATGTGTAATCACCAGTAGTTAAAACTAGTTGCCACAAATCAAGATTTTCCATAATATCAAAATTATCTTTCATGTTTTCAGCACAAATATGCTTGATAGTGTATTGTCTTTGATGTCACAGCTTTCGTCTAAAGGTCATGAAAAGTATCTGCAGCACTGTAGGCCAGAAAAAATTTGTGTGTCAACATCCTGGCCATGTCATCTGTATGATGCACGATGGTATTTTTAGACAAAGCTGTTTTGTCAACCATACTTTTGACATTTATATCACTGACATTTTGTGCAAATATTAAAAGATTACTTTTTATTATCTCCCTCTGTCAGAATAGGGTTTTTTCCTGTGGTCTAAAACAGAGAAAGTTCATTAGAAGCCTTCACCACAGTTTCCATTTTGTCATTTCTCTTCTGAAACAAGAATTGTTAGCAGGCTGAAGATTTTTTCATTTTTTTTATTTATTTGATAAATTTCATTGGCAAGTCTGACCTGAAAGGATATTTGTTGTTGAAATAACTATGTAGCTGCCTGCAATGTCAGTTCAGGTTAAATTTTTTTGGCACTGCAACACATATTGCACATATCAAACAAACAGGCTTGAACATATTTTGATGCATAAACAATTTTTTTTCCCCCAGACAGTTTTAAAATCCCAATAACCTCTTTTTTCATTTTAATGTCGAAGGTTTACTCATGGACATAGCAAAAATAAAATTTTTAAAACAACAATGATCGATGCCAAAATCTAAAACTGTATTAAAAAAGCTTAATATATTGCTCAACAGTTTAAAGTCAACTGAACCAGACAGCCAGAATGTCGCATTCACTCAAGAAGAGATAACCATAGCAAAACACAGTGGAACCAAAGCAAGACAACTCAAACCATTGGGATCAACCCATGACTACACTGTCTTACCGCATCGTTGTACTGGTGTCAAGCAGTGCTACTTTCCACCATTGCTGTTTTCAATAGTGTATGAGTAGGGATTTATGGATTTTGATAAAACGCCTAAAGATAACATTATTATTTTTTCAAATTTTTAAATTTTCCAGTAAGTCTTCATATGTTACTTCATGTGTATTACCCGTGTGCCATGGTTTGGCCATCCACAATATAAAGAAATCATAGTTTAGTAATAACTCGAAGAATTTTAATGATGTTTATTAGTGATGTTTCTCCCATATAAATTTTGGTGCCAGAAATGTTCAAGTTCCTGCTCTATTACAAAGTTCCTTTTGATTTCATGGATTTATGTACTATTCTTATTATCAACGGATCTAGATTGGATTCTTATTACCATCGGAACTGGACAACAATGTTCAACAATTTTTTTTAATATTACAGGTGACTGCTTTACTTTTATAACTTTTGCAATATTCTTTAAAGTTTAAAACATGGCTTCTCATGAAAATTTTGAAAAATTAAACCAAAAACCCGCAGTTGAAAAAAGCAATACTACTAATCTAGTTTCCAGACTCGATGCTGCCTTGACAGATGAAAATGTTACATATGATATCTTAGAGGTTTTAGCTGAAAAAGAATCTAGAAGTTTTAGTTGAAAAAAGTGATTAAATCAAAATCCTTACATACTCAAATTGAACATTTAATTGATGTAAACATAAATGAGAAAGAAGTAAGCACTAACTGAAGAAAAAGTAAGCACTAGTACTGAGTATTAATAAAAATGTATCAGATATAGTAACAAACGCTTATTAAAATAGGAAGAAAATTTGACTAACTCCTTGGCATTTGAAAAAATGTTAAGCACTATGCTAACTTAAATTTACCCTCTTTGATTAAACTTCCAAACATAATATTCAAATCGCATTCAGAAGACCTGAAGTATTGGAACAAATTTCGGAATTCATTTGAAAGTACTATCAATCAAAATGATTCACATTCGAAAATAAAAAAATTGCCTGTTTAAAAGCATATCTGACTGAAAGAGCATTAAACATAGCATTTTGATTTCAATTAATTGATAAAAATTACGACAACTGTGTAAAGTTACTTAAGATCATTTTGGTCAGAGTTTCTTAAACTTTTTTTCAGTCGCAACCATCTTTTATCACTGAGATTTTTTCGCGACCCCCAGGACACCATAATATTTACAAAAATTTTGTGGGACCCCATAAGTATTGCACGCATGAGTAAAACTGTAAATTTTTTCACTTGTATTGTAATATACTATTGAAGTTTTAGATCATTAATTTTAAGACATAGAACAATGTGAAAATTTTAAATAAGTAACAGACTAAATCACAGCATCACGTGCAAAGCAAGAAAAATGAACGTTTATATTGTAAAAAGAATGAGTCGAAATGTTTTCATTTTTTTCTTTGTCTGTCTTGTCTTATTTTTATCTAGTTTCAGACACATTGTGTAAAAATATTTGGTAATTCTAAAATTATTATAATAAATTTAAGAAATATCAAATATCACTCTAAAATTTTTGGGGACCCTCTTGGAGGTCGCGACCCACAGTTTAAGAAACCCTGGTTTTGGTCATAAAGATATCATCATTGATTCTTTTACGAGTAAAATTTTAAACTCAAAAAGCATTAAAATTTCTTCTCATGTTTCAATTTTGAGAAAGTTATATGATGAGCTTGATACTGTGAAACACAATTTAGATTAAGTGCAAGAGAACTTAAAATCTTATAGCCCACTTCTGATTTCAATTGTTCTCAATTTATTTATAGACAATTTTGTTTTAGATGTTACATAAAACACAAATTCATATGTCATGTTACAATTTCTGGTCTTTTTTTCTTTTTTAAAATGCAAAATTTTTATTGAGAATTTATTGAGAATCAACATTTTTAGTTTTAGATGACAGAAAAGGTTTCTCAACAAATTCTAAAGTTATAATTGCAATGGATTTGGTCATTTGTCTAAATTTTGTTCTTGTAAAAATCAGTCATAAATCCCTCACTTGTGTTAAAAAAACTCCAATGCAAAACATTGAAAAAAACGATATTCCAACATTTGAAAAAATTAATACTGTCACATCAATGAAATTTAACACACCAAATTTACTCCATAAAATTATCAAAATTAATGATATATCACTTACACTTCTGGTTGGTAGTGGAAGTGAAGCTACAGTTATCTGTAACGATATTTATAAACAAAAATGAAATCCTTTTTTAAGTGCATTTCATACCACATTGACTGGTTTGGGTAATGACAAAATCCCTTATTATTAATAACAAAAAATTTAGTAGGTAAGCTACAAGATACTCATATGTTCACTACTATCAATCTAAAAAATGCTTTCTTCCATGTTAGTGTTAACAAAAATAACCGATATTACATTTGATATGTATAATGGACAGCATCAGTTTCTAACAGTAACTTTCAGTCTCTACCTCACCTTCAGTATTTCAAAGATTTGCGAATTCAGTTTACAAAAATCTAATCTTGAAAGGTCATGTTTTACTGTATTTAAATTATATCATAATTCCTACTAAAGATGAAGGTATTAAGCATTTGAAACCCATTTTCTCAATTGCTTCTAATTATGGACTCAGAATTAATCTTAAGAAATCTAAATTTTTAAGCCGTAAAATTGAATTCCTTGGTCATATCATTGAGAATGGTAAACCATGGTAATGGCAGATCAGTCTTCAAAAACAGAACTCCTGATATGAATTCCAGCAGAATTTATTGTATCCTTTGACAATGTAGTTAAACTTACATGATGAATTTAAGAATTTATTTTAAGAAATATGGAAATTATATTCATAATTAAAAGAAATTCATAAATCATTCACTAATAAGCAATGCCGGACAACATATTTTTAATCTTCTCTCGATTAAATATTCTTGTGAATCCAGGTGAAGAAAAATCAATAATTTATTTTTGCTCTCCTTTTCTTTAAAGAAATGGTAATAAATGTTTACCTTCCATTTTATTATAGATGTTGATTATAACAGTGATTTCTAGAACCTTCTTTACAGTTCCTATCTTTTTTTCACTGGTCTTTATTCATCACTCAGCAGCTGTTAAAGAGCACAAAACAATATTACCTGCAAAACTGCTCTCAACTTGTACCTCAGTATTATACCAGTATTTGTTGGTAATAGTGTTGTTTGTATTTTTTGCATTCAACAAGGAAAAAAAAAAAAAAAAAAAAAAACTGAAAAAGTCATTTTAACTCAATCTTATCAAAATCGATTGCCTCTTACAAGATTTTTATCATTAATACAAGAAATAAAATAATAAAGATTTTATACCTTGTTCTTGAACTTTTTCAGGTTTTGATAATCCATTAGAGTCATAGAACATCACAAAGTGACCTTGAGAAATAACACAAATAGCATCTCCAACATTATCAATGGCAGCATACTCAGGAAAAGAAGGTGAAGCTAATTTCCTTGTGCGTTTCTTAGTCCAAACTTGAATATTCTGAGCTGAAAAACAAAAATGATATTTCTGAAACAAAAAATATATAACTACAGAAGACTATATCTGGGCAAAACAAAGAAATTTCAGATATTTATAATATTAAATATAGAATTTATTCATTCATGTAAAAGATTTTAGGATTTCTACTTCGAAATTAGAAGCATGTAGGGTGAAAAACCAAAGTTAATAAGATTAATATTTTTTTTGAAAATAAAAATTATTAATGTATCTTTTCCTCAGCAACTCTAGATTATTATTCATTATTTCTAGTTTTCAGATACTAATCTACTTGACATTCTAATATAACTATAAATTCAGATTCTTGTCAGCATGACTTCAACCTAATGGACTGTCTTAGATTATGTATGTGTGAGGGAGGTAAAATAATTTGAAGCACTTGGTCTGGCTGCAGAAGATTTGGTTTCCTAAGTGACCAGTACAGTTAATGTCCCATACAAATTAAACATTTAATAGAGAAATATACCTATATTTAGTTGTCATTTCTAGGAATAACATTCGTGGGCTTATGCGGCTGCCTAAGTTACCGAAGCGTGGAGTTGCATCTTCCATCACAAGACTAAAAAACTAAAATAATAAATAAATAAATTTTTATTTAATAATTATTAATTAAAATAATTTAATTATTAATTAAAATTTAAATTATTTTAATTAATAATTTATAAGACAAAAATTTAAGAACTGTTAGCTTGCAAACAAATTTCAACAGCTGGTCTAAAATCACTAACAATTTACCATTTCAAACCTTTAGTCAAGCACAGACTTGAAAATAAAATATTTTGATTCAAGAGATTCTAATTTCAACATTGAATTACTAAATGGCTATCCATTCTTAAACAGCATATAATATAGGGTAAATGTTCAAAGCAAGCAGCAATTTGTTAGAACAGAAAACCAACTTAAAGGAATTTCTTAAATGTATCCTTGCAGAACTGAAATTTCAAGAAATTTCTGGATCAGATGACAGAAACAACAAAGATGTGTAAATTCAATATTAAGAAATTAACATAATAGTCACAAGCTTATAAACAATTTCTACAGTGTTAGTTTCTGGTTGTACTAAAAGGAAGAAGAAAAATTTTAAATGCTCTGTACAATTTAAATTAATGTGGGTTATTTGTTTTAATGTAAAATAACGATATTGACTACGAGAACTAAGAAAAATAATCTCCACATTACTTGGAAGTTGATTTATTTGTTAATTTATTAATTTTGTTAATATTTGTTAAATTAAGAAACCCTGAAACTTAATCCCCTCTGAACATTACAGGATTTTAGATTCAAGTGTGCAATGCTTTATTTATACACAGCATTCATACTTCTTTTCATATAATTATTTATTTAAGTATTTATTACACTCATGTCCATAAATTAAGGATAATTCGGAGTCACGCGGAAATCGAACTCTAAAATAAATATATCACCTGTAAAATCACTACTCACATCTTCAAGAATCATATGCAAATTTCAGGAAGTAACCAGATGACACCGATGGTACGTCACAATGACGAGAGTGTAAGAGAGTGATATATAAGGAATACAGGCAAAGAAGTAAAATTGTTCGCAGGCACTTTATAAGCATTTCAGTGCAATAACCGAATAGTTATGACACAAAGGACGCATTTGGATGATTTTTTACTTGGTAGAATTATCAGCCGTCTGGAATGTGGGCGTACCCAACTGGAAATATCAGAAGAACTTGGAATTGCCCAGAGTGTCATCGCCAGGCTTTGGCAACGATTCCAAGATGATGGTAATGTGAGTAGACGTTACAGCACAGGTGTCGCCCCATAGTTACAACGCCGAAGGACCGGTATTTGGCAGTTACTGCCAAAAGAAACAGGCCGAGCACAGCCTTAGACCTGTCTCGTCAGCTCTCTTCAGCCATTGGTATGACAATTTCAAGGCAGACTGTGTACAGACGCTTAGGGCAGATTGGTCTATATGCTCATAGACCTGTCGGATGCGTTCCACTTACTGCAACTCACTGTCGCCTGCGGTTAGCCTGGAGTAGAGAGCATTCATTGTGGACACCGCAACAGTGGGCTTGTGTGATGTTTTCCGACGAGTCCAGGTTTAGCTTGCAGTCTGATTCTCCCCGGACTTTCATATGGAGAGCTCCAGGTACCCGTTACCACCAAGAAAACATCATTGAATGACACCGTTACGGTGGTGCAGGAGTGCTCATTTGGGGTGGAATTATTCTGGGTTCCAGAACTGACCTGCATGTTCAAATTGGAACCATGACAAACCAAATCTATCGGGACGTCATTCTGGAACAACATGTACGTTTGTTTCAGGGCGCCATGGGCCCACAATTTGTGTTTATGGATGACAACGCCTGTCCTCACTGTGCAAATATTGTAAGCGAATGCCCTCAATCGGAGGATATCACCCGTATGGACTGGCTAGCATTCTCACTGGACTTGAATCCAGTAGAACACGTGTGGGACATGCTTGGCTGACGAGTTGCAGCCCGTCAACCTCCTCCTACATGTCTACTGGAACTTCGGAGAGCATTGCTTTTTGAGTGGTGTAATATCCCCCACGATCAGATCGATAATTTGATACTCAGCATGCCTAGGTGTTGTACGGACTGTATTGCATCGTCTGGGAGACATACAATGTATTAACAATCATACCAATCATGTAAGGTTGGTATGATTGTTAATACATTGTACAACATGGTTACCAACATGGTTTTTTGTAAATAGGTTTTTTTGTAATTTGCTCCAGGGAGAAAAAATCGCTAATTTTTTTAATAATATCAAACATATAGCATCTTTTTTTTTTGCTCTTTACCTTTTGTATAATAAATTAGCTTTACAAATAAGTCAAATTTGTTTTGCTTCTAACTCTTCCTTTGCCTGATTTTGCGTTATCCTTAATTTATGGACATGAGTGTATATACACCATTGAAAAAAATAGAAAAAAAAGTATTTTAAAAGATAAGCTACATGATACAGTCAAAAGTCGTTAATCCGGACTCGTCGGGACTTCGGCAATTCCGGATTATCGATTTTTCCGGATTATAGATCATCAGTTTAAATCTCGTAAGATGGCATGCAGAAATTCTAAAATTAAAAATATGAAACCGTAATTTATGAAATAAAGAACAATTATGATCTAAAGGGTATCAAAATTAAAAAAAAAAAAAAAAAAAAAAAGCTTAATATTTATTTGTTTAGTTTATTAAACATTTCTTTCAATGTAAGTTGTTTTTAAGTTGCTTCGTTTTATGTGATAATACCTTCTCTTTAATTCTATAAACAAACATAATTTCTTGTTCAGTTACAAAGTTCCACTGTTCAAGTCCCGTAATTGCTGTGCCGAAAATACCGACTAACTTGTCAATCAAAATTTTTTCGTTTTCACTAACCTTTCTGTCACCTTCTTCATGTCTTTATCCATTTTTTGCAGCAATTCCACTTTTTGTTTGATGGACATCGAAACATACTTTCATTTTGTAGATCCTTTGTGAGCTCCAGCATCGAAAATTCTATTTGACATAATCGAAAGTTCAAGTTTACTTTTATAAAATTGCTCTTACAGTCTGCAAAAAGTAATAAGCCGGATCCAATTCGAAGATTAAGGAACTACGCAATCATCAACATTAACTGAAATAGATAATTAGATAATTTTAGCTTATACCGTCCGTTATACATAAAACGCGCATGTGAAAATGTATTCTGCACTTGAGCACACGCATATGTGCAGTCGTGAAGGTCTTACGCGCACGTGCATGTGTCAACGCAGTGCATGCGCAGAAAGTTTTTAGCTTTGAGGTCCGGATGTCCGAATTAACGACTTCTGACTGTACTTTTTTTTTTTTTTTTTAATTTGGCATTGATTAGCATGAAACATAAATATTGGAAAACAAAATCTAACTACACAGAAATAATCTTAATGATAACCACAGCTTTAGAAAGCAATAAACAAAGAAACACAGCTTTAAAAAGCAATAAAAAGGCTATTTTATTGAATTCGAAAAAAGTAATAATAATAATAATAAAAGACAAAACAGATTTTACCATGTTAATTTTATTTTACACATGAGGATAAAACTGTTGATTTAATATCGCAGAAAGCATTGGCACATTTTCTTGCAACTGCCACCACATGAATGCGAAGAGTAGGAATCTAGGATGGAGGCAGCCTGTGCCATGCTAATGCTTATTTGGCTACTCTGCAGGTGGCATCCCACACTGGGATTAATAATATTGTATTTGTGGTTAGCTTGGATATATATTTGTGTTCATATCTGGAAGCTGCCAATTTATCCACTTAAAAGCAACTGAAAATCTAGAAGAGAAAATTCCTAGATTGATATTTATTCTTCCTGCTGATTTGCAATGGCATCATTGCACATTTATTCATTATGCAATATTAACAGGCTACCATATCTGGTGCATATTTAGTCACAGACACTCCATTAACATAAAAGTACTGATGCTATGCCATATTTCCTTGCTTATTTTTCTCCATTTTTTTACTAATTTTATTGTCTCAAAATCAAGAAGGAAAATTACACAAATAATTTAATTTCCAATGATCATGGTTACAGTAAGAGCATAACAAATAAAAAAGTAGTCATGGATAAATACAGATGGCTATCACAATATGATTTCCTTCAAAGAAACCTACATTGTAATAAGAATATATAGTAGTATTAACATTACAGTATATAATAAGATATCATCATTTCTACTTTCTGCTCATTCTTATTGTTATTGCTGCTACTTCTTATTCCTCTAATCATAAATAATTAAAGAAACAGAATGTGTGCTGCCTTGGTAAAATCATAGACAATGTCAGTTTATGTTTTACTGTGATAGACTGACTTTTGTATTAAGCTGGTTATAAATTCAACAGAGAGAAGAAAATGGTTCAGTGTGGCCTTCACAGGCAGTTTGCAAGGGTTTGTCTTTGTTATTAAGATTAAAAAACATTCACAATGTGAACAACTGCATTTTAAAATTTAAGGGAGCTTGTTCTCCGAATGCAACGAAAAAGGGGAAAATTACATAAATATTTTAAAAATTTTCAGAACCTGAAGTAAAAAAGCTAGGAGGGAATATATGATATATATTAAGTGGAAATAAATCTTTTGAGTAAATAAAAGCAGTCAAGCTACTCAGAAAACTACAAACAACTAGAGTTAAAATAATGGATACCTCTGCTGCAGTGATTTTTTTTTTAGAAAGACAGCTTCTTACCTATCATTTTAACAAGTTCTATATGTACACGAATTTAAAACCGAGTATCCGTTAATAGATGATGAAATATGTTTTCACATGAAATATTTTTTATAAAAGACTACCACCGAGTTCTTTAATGTTTAGTACATATAAATTTTGTACATAAAATTAAAAAGAATATATTTTTACTTCTAATGAAAACTAAAATTACCAAAGAAACAAACATAGAATGGGGGGGGGGAACCCTCTCTGAAAGACTACTGTTTAGGAAATTCTGATCTCATTTATTAAATATCACATTAACCACTGTTCTTCCAATTTACGTGCAATTCTGCCAGAGATAAAATCACTCAGAAATCTTCTTTGTGATACCTCATGATTGACCAAACACAAAAGAGAAACCACATGAAACAAGCTCCGTTTAGATGCAATTCCACTTTTACTTATACCATAAGTCACAAACAATTTATGAACACTGGGTGCTAACTTTCAAACATATCTTCAGAATAACAGATTGTAGCCTTTTACTAAAAACTGTGTTATTGCCTCTTTCTTTCAAACAAAAATCTTCTAACAATGTTAAGACACAAATAATGATATATAATCTTCAAATATTTACACCGACATTAAAAATATCTATGGTACAGCCCTTTTTGTATCATGTCATGCTGTCACAGCACTAATAATTAAACTCTTAAACTAGAAAATAAATAATAACTAAAATTGTAATTGTATTACAGCTTAAAATAGTTTGCCAGTGATGACAGTTGTGCTCATTTTTGACAGATATCTTTACTTGTATCTAATAAGAAACTCCTAGTTGTAAAAAATGTTGCCAATTTTGCAGACAGGAATCTTTATTTTTCTCTACTGCTTTAGATTTATAAACAGATTTTTCAAAAAAGTACACTTCTTAATAGTTTTCATTTAATTTTTGAATAACTTATCTATTTATGATAATTTATAATGTATTTAACTGATAATTTTAATAACTATTTGTAATACTAATATAACTAATATGATGTAATAATACTAAGATGTTTATCTAGTTATACCTATTCGGTAATCAGCTACAAAATATTTGTTAGTTTATCAAAACATTTGTTTACTAACATCTTTACTACAACTAATGTATACTTAAAAAAAAATCTTTATACATTCCACAAATACTAAATAATAAAGGGATCAACTAATAAAAACTTTATACTTCCCCATATCATAGATGATTTACAAAAAATAACATCACCCATCTTTTTAAAATACTTAAAACATCAATACCTAAAACCTTTAAAATACCTACTTACCACAGCTTAGTGAAATCCATTCTAAGACAGCTATAAAAGTACTTTTTTGAGGAAAGGTAAAATCTTCAGGTAAATAAGATTTATCGTCCACACTTGATACAATACAATCAATCTGCTGACTTCCTGGCATACTACGATGAATTGCATGTAGAATGTAGCATGAATTGTTTTTTCCCAGATTCAATGAATGGTAACACTAATGTGAAAGAAAAATTAACTTTAAAAATATCATTTTATAAAAAAAAAGATTCTAAATTTAATAATTTGTAAATTTTTAAACCTTTACTATCTTTTTTCTTGCATAATTCCTTAAATACAAGATAAATAATTTTTATTATTTGCTTTTTTATTATGCCTATAATGAACTTTGTAAAACTTGGATTAGTTAAGCAGTAATCAATAATCACAGCTTTCAGAATGGATTGGGATATTTAAATTACAGTAAAAACATATGAGGATTACTTAGCTAACAGAAGGGATAACTTCATGGATGATTTTTTGAAGACAAACTTCCTTGCATATATGTTCCTCATAGGGAAGACCACAAAAGCTCCCATGAAGATAGCCTGTTCACCAGAATTTGAGCCTAGGTCGAACTACCAGTATTCAGCAATTTCACCACTTAGCCGTTGATAGAATCCCCCCTTCTTCACAAATGACTTGTAGGAAGTGTAAAATACCATAATCAATAGTTACATAAACAATTTCTGAAATGTGTTCGTAATTTGCCATGTTATGCCGGCTTTCAGTTTAGAAATAGTCCATAAAGTTGGCATCTGTTTGACAAATATGATCTTTTCAAATTTCTTACACCTAGATGGATTAAATCATGAGAACAAAAAGGTCAAGAATTAGGAAAATTTCTAAATATGACATAATCAACATTAAAACTAGTACAAAGTAATTCCTTTATTTATTGACCACTTGAAGTTAGGTTACATCTTGTATAAAGACAATGGTCTTTAATGCAGGAACTATGATATCAGTTCTTCAAGGAAAAGGTTCTTTAAAATATATTCAGTAATAAATCTACACCATATAATGATACAATCAGAATGACCGCTCCTTCTTGGTTAAAATATATTATAGCTGTCTACAGAATATTTGAAGGCTACACATCATTAACAGCAATCCTTTCCCAAAATTACAAAATGAAATTAGCGTGCTGATGTTGACCTTCTTGCTACAACACTTGAATTAAATACGGGATACCACAGTAAAATGAAACAGAACACCTTTCAAATCACTAAGGTTTAAATAATTCACATTAATACTGCTCAAGCAATGATTTTACAATACCAGAAATTTCACAATGTATTAGCCGAAATATTTCATCAATTTTATCCACAATCTTCTTTCCCACTTAATCCGATGTCTCTTTGAATTTCTACATTATCTTTCATAATCTGTTCTTTAACAAAGACTTTCTCCACAGCTCTTTCAAATGAGGTTATTTTCATAAGACAGCTGCTATACCACTGTTCTCAACAATAATTTTATAAGCAAAGCTTATTCTTTTTTTCAAAAAGCATGGTAATTAACATAAAATAGTCTTCAAGCACCATCGATTTGCACTTTATTCAGAAGTGGGTTGTTTTCTAATTTCCATAAAATCTCAATTACAAATATGAAATTGTGGAGATATTTACTGCATCAGAATGATTTTTCTCTCTTTTTTTTTTTTTTTTTTTTTTTTTATGACCTTAATAGCCTATACACCTAGCTTCCCTGAAACAGGCTGATTAGATGATACTGAGAATTTTTAATTAAAGCACATTAATAATAATAGCTACATTTATTATGCATTGCTTTTCATTGGTTAAAAATATTTCTGCTTTAATAACAGTTATATTTCAGTTCTAAGCTTCTTAACTTTTAAGTGGCAGAGGTCTAAAGATACAAATCAAAATGCAGATAATTAAGAAAGAAAAAGCAAATTATTTTTTAATTAATTTTTACATACTATCTTAATGTTAAAAACAGCATTACAATAATAAAATCCACTAACAACAAAACAAACTTAACATAATAAATCACTCAATAACAAAACAAAAAATATAATATATGAAAATTTGTCTGTGGGGTGAATTCATGTGAAAGCCCATTTCACCTGAACGTTTGGAGCTTTTGCATGTTATAACACACAGGGTGAGTTTATTATTATTTCTTAATTATTGGAGGCTCCTTATGATTGCCAGTCGCACAATCCTGTAAATCATCCTCTGGTTTGTTCTACCAAGAAAATGGGAAAAATACATTATAAAAATAAAAAGCACTTTAAACCTTGTTACCGCCAAAAGAGTAATGCATTCAAAAATTTATGCATTCAAAAAATAAACAATATTGCAAAAAACTGAAACTAGCTCAAGAGTCAAAACCTAGCAAATCAAAGATACTATCACAAATTAAAAAATAATAAGAAAATACACTCCATCAAAAGATACAAATAACAGCAACAGTTTTGCTAACTTTGCAATGCTCAAAATCATATGACTAAATTTTACATGACCAAGAAAATAAAGCACTTAGCAAATCGAACACCTGAAAAACGTTGTCTACATACTAAACTCTATGATCACAATTATATTCTCTTGCTATCTTAATTCTAAAGAAAATAAATACAATTTTAAATAAAGTTAGGATATATGTTCTGGAAGATTTATTAGCAATGCTAACTGAGATAGTATCTTATTTATCAGCTAGGTACATAATGCTTCAAAGAAGAAAGGGAGGGGATGACCAAAATTTTAGTCAATGTTCAGTACAGTAGTATTCTTCTTCATTCCCATATCAAATTTTTCAGATACTCTTTGCAAAGCTACTATTTGTCAGACAATCTTTACAGCTACTCATCAGTAATTGAAGTAGGTCAGTCACATAGCTTGTCCTATAGCTTAATGCTAATACAAACAAACTTCTGGAAGCAATATTACAAACGAATGAACATTTTCTCTTGAATACCAGCTAACAGAGAATGAATATGCAATTTTCACATCTCGTCATTTAAGGTATTAACATTCAAAAGATTTCTGTAAGAAATAGGTTGAAAAATGTAATCACGATGAAGCCTTAAAGTTCTTACCAGCCAAGGTTCACCTGCAACACGACTAGGTGTGTATAATACATGTAGATGTTCCTTTCCATCACAAAGAACAGCCCATTCAGCCCCAGGAAAGCAGATAGTTACATTTCCTAGCATGTATGGGTCTACTGGAATTTCCCATACACTTTTTGGACCAGCCAAGCGACCATCCTAAGATTCAGTTTCAAATTAATACATAATAAAAAGGCATAAATTAAATGCAGAAAGAAAACTAAATTTTAAAAATGTTGCAAAAATGCATTAAAATTATGATCACTAAAATAATAACACTGTAATAAAAATTAAAATAATTATTTCTTTAGCAACTATTACATTGACACAGCATCACCAAGAAAATGCTACTTGAAATTTAAAGAATATAGAATATTAATTTATAAATATAAAATCTTCCTAAATATGTTCCAAAGAATATCACATACAATTTTTGACATCCAAAGAATGTCAAGATTTGGTTTATTTAATTATGGCAAGGCATGTGAGGGCTTCTGCCTAAGAAAAAGGATGCCTTTGTGAAGGACTTCGTAAGGGCAACTGGATCATATACACATTACATATGAGAAAAACCATAAAAACAGCCATGCAGCCAGCCCATTTGCTGGGATTCAAATCCCGGACTGAGCTGCCAGTGTTCAGCAACTTTATTGCTCGACCACTGGTGGGACCCAAGAATATTGAGAATAGTTAATTTTCACTAATGCAATAATATACAATGTATGTAAATAATCTACAAAAATATCTAAGCTACTGTGAGATAAGGAAAGTGTAAGTCCAAATACATTATAAAAGTGCAGCACATGTACGACATTTCTCTTATTGTTCTTATTTGAATTATACACACTCCTAATGTTTCCATTATGGCTATATGGAAAACTGTGGAAAATAAGAGATTCTCACCATTTTAGATTAAGAACAATACTGAATATAAAATAATTTTTTTAAGAACTTTTTTAAGAAACTCTAGCAGCCTAACCCAAAATATAAACCAATGTCAAGTTAACCCTGATTTAATGATGAGCAGTAGACTGCTCTCATAATCATGTTTTACATATATAAATCATTGCTAATGAATGTAGGCATAGTTCGATCTCAAGCTCAATATATCAAGAAAAAGTTTGTTAACATAAAGTTAACACTCTGAAACATTTATAAGATCCAAAAACTAGATAATGAAATGGAAGCTCAAGTTAGCATAGTGTAATGTCACTCAAAGAGACCTTAATTTTACATGTGAAAGTTAACTGCAGTTCATAAACTGATAATTTTCAGGCTTAAAATTGTTGAAAGATTTTCTGATGCATTAAGAACAGATCCAAATTATCCAATTCCTAAAGCTAGCACAGTAAGTTTAAAACAAATAAATAACACTGACTGTTCTGTCTCGGTTAGAATATTTCTGTCTATTCGTACTGGCTTAACGTTTGCAGCACCACATAATGTCAGTGGCGAGAGCCCAGTACTAATCAGTAAGCGATAGGCTTGCACTCAGTCCACACCGAGTCTCCGTTCCACTGCCCGATCAAAGCGGCAGTCAATTGTTAATTCTTCCTTACTCTTTGCCCGTTTAAGCCGCATTATTGTGCTTGAAAGAAAATAATTGTTAAGTTTTTCAACTTGACTTTTATGAATTAATATACAGCCACAACTACCAACTGCTATCAACATTTTGGTCCTAACCAACCTGAAGAACAACAACTATAATAAATATAGTATTTTTGAATAGGCAATGCGGTTGTCTAAGAGCAAAAATCACAAAACTGGAACGTTCTTTGTGTGACTTCGTCAAAAATGAAGAAAGTGAATCATTTTTAGAAGTGATTCAAATCGCTATCAGGAATATGCAGCTACCAGGAATAAATCGCTGCAAGGCAATCGCTATCAGGAATAAATCAGGATGAATTAAAATTGCGGTACTTCTATCTACCAGCAGAGGTCTCCATAGAGGAATCCTGTGAAATTATTGAAGAACTAGAGGACGATCTGGAGAAAATGGAGGTAAGTCTCAAATACCTTTCAAAATTAAAAATCAAAAGTTAATGCATTACCAGTACTTAATAATTCTGTTCAAAATATCAATGTTAAATTGCCTGAAATACCGTTACCTCAATTCTCTGGAAAATATGAAGAATTTAATGATCTTAATTGAAAATTTATATCCTTAATTGCTGAAAATAAGAAACTAACTGAAACACAAAAACTTTATTATTTAAAGGCTGCTCTTAAAGGGGAAGCAAAAAATATTGAGAATTGTAAAGATACATACCAGTCATTGTTTCAAGCTTTAGAACTACGTTATGAAAACAAAAGAGCGATAATGGATAGACATATTCAAAATATTTTGAACCAAGAGAGACTTCAACAAGAATCACCTAAGGAACTTCGCTGGTTATTATATAATATCAAACACAATCTACACACTTTAAAAATGTTCTAAAACTCATCCGGGAGAATGCAATTCAAACTTTTTGTGCAGCCGCTGCTTCCATATTCCATTCCATTCCCTTCTCTATAGGGACAATGACCCTCAGTAAAAAAAAAAAGTATTTGAAAATGAGTATGAAAATAAAAGAAAGTTCATCCAAATAGCTTAAAAACTAAAATACGAGAAATATTTTTGATAACAATAAAATAAAATAGTTCATATATATTCATCGTACAAGATCATGATGTTTTTACAGGTTAATCATATTCAAATCATATTATAAAGACAGCAAGTTTGACTATCCGAGACTTAAGTGCAGCATGAAAAATTCTTCTGGAGTAATGAAATTAATGTTTTTAAGCAAAAAAAAAAAAAAAAAACCCTTACTACTTCAAGAATAAAGTCTTTACAGTGTAGCTTGAATCAAATGAAAAAATGCAGATGATTTTACCATCACCTGGAATGCTGACTAAGTGCTTCTTATGACAAATGTGTTAACTTACAAAAAAAAACTTTTTTAATATTATTATGTCACACTCTTGGTCTTTTAAATCTTAAACCTACTGAATTAGAATTTTTTCTTGCTAACACAATCACTAGTCTACAATAAGTGAAAAACAAAATCATTTAATGCTTAAAACATTACTACAGAAAACAGCAACTGTTATTTTTATGGAAAGGCAGTCAAATAAACAAATGAAAATGGAATGAATAAGCGTTAAGCTTTGAAAGAAAGCAGACAGCTTTTAGTGTTTAGAACAATTATGTGACACAATCCAATTTGTTTCGAAAGATGTGATTTCTTTACTAATGAAATGGATTCATATACTGAAAGTAGAAATTCTTATGGATCCAAAAATTGAGAGTAGAAGTTCAGAGGATGCCAATTAGTTTATAATGAAAATACTGATGTTTTCAATCACTGATAAAAACATTTCTATCTGCAAATAATTTGCTGATACAGATATATTTGAAGCAGCAAACTATTGGATAATAATGTGGGTTTTATGGATATGAGAGGGCAAACTATGTTTTACCATTATGCAAGAAGAAGCACAAGTAGCAATTACAGGTTTTATAGAATTATGAAAACAGAAAAGATATAAAACATAATTTTTTCATTTTTTTGGCCTTCAGCTCTTTAGCCCTATTTTGAAATACTTCCAATACTTGAATTTCTTCACTGATAAACTTATTTTAGATGTTATTCCGATGTAATCTGAATGATATTTTAGATGTTATTTCAATATTATCAACAACTGAATATGCACTGAAATTTTAAGGCATTATTCATATTTGTAAATGCATTACGAATTACAACTTTATCACAAAAATCACAAACAGACTGTTAATAAGTAAAGACTTTTCAGAGCTATTCCATTAATGCGTCTAACAAAACGTATTACACACAGTAGTACAGTAGACATTGCTTTACTGTGATCAATTACAGCTATCAACTGGATAATGTTATTGAAACGCTAATGTCCCATTCATTTGTATCCAGAAACACTGAAAACCACTTACTGTAATTAACAAGTCAGTTAAAGTAATCGAAATATTAAAGCATAAATTTTTTAAACTCAAATAATTCATCAAATAAAAGGTTAAATCACCAAATAAGGTCAAAACAGACCATAAGAATTGCCAAATGACAGAGAAATGTCAGTTAATGTAAGAAATTAAGTCACTTGATTTTGATTTAAGTCACCCATATACAAAGGAATTAGCTTCAAGAAAGCTAAATCCTAATTTCCAAGTTTCAGGAAAATCAACTGGACTAATTAATCAGTTAATGAAGCTGAATTTTTGATGGCCTTGCTTTTTCAAGCCCAAAAACTTTCTATTCGCCCATACTGCATTTCTAAAAATTATCTGTTATTCTTTAGCATTTTAGCATAAAATATGAAATAAAATAAACTTTAGATTATAAAAATTAGGCTATAAATTCACTTTATACTGCAATGAAGTTTTAAGAAATCTCGCCATTTTTTGAACGAACAACCAACTTTATTAGTCAAAACTTACAGAATAACTGAAACATATTTTTAAGCGCGTGTATTGTCTGCACGGATATTCTTTGTGTTGTGTCTAGCGGTGTGGGTTCAGTGAAGTGCATGACGCAACCAAAACAGACTAGTTCACGGCACAAACATTTATTTCTAACTCTAATCTCGTTCACAGAAGTTCTCGGGTATAAGAGTACTGATACTCTTGAAATCAGATGCTACATCCCTCCCCACTTATTTAGAGATTTAATCTCTGAGGAGCTTTGCGGATGCTCGAAGATCATCTAAGTCCTGGCTGAGGTTGCTGCAACTCTTTATCAGGATCCACTGGAAGGACTGGATCAGTTTTCCCTGGAACTGACGATGTTTCAAGTCCGGCTGAAGTTTGCACAGCTTCACTTCTTTGTTCGATGTCCTTGTCCGGAGCCTGTGGCTTCACGTTTGCCATCTGAAGTAGCAGCCATACGAGGTTCATAGATTATCGGTGCAGACGGAACCTCGCTCCCTACCGATCTGATCTGATCGACGTGCCGGCGCAGTAAAGTTCCTTGAACGTCAATGGTATAATGCAGCGCTCCATCCTTATTTGTCACTCTGCCAATTTTCCATCGAGAATTTGCCGATCTATAATCCCGAATGGCAACCTTTTCTCCGATCTCAAAATTTCTGTCTTTGAAATCATAAGTATTCCTTCGGATGCGTTCTTCCACTCTTCGTTTCGTTTA